TTCCGCTCCCCTCCCTGTGCAGCTTTATTCTCGCCGGGGGATGCGCTTGGTGTTTTCTCGATGCACGCCTCTTGTCCCACCGTGGCTGCCAACCCTTCTGAGGGGCCAGCAAGAAGGCAGTTTGGAGGGGCCGCCCTCTGCCCCTTGTGTTTTGACAAGCAAACAGCAAGATTTGGCTCTTCCAACGAGGGCTAAGCAGGGGCTTGATCCCCTTCTGGTTGCAGAGTTACTGGGATGCGCTTCTTGTGATGGGTTGAGGATTGGAGCTGCGGGCACAGGAGTCCCTGCAGTGCGCCAGCCCGGGCGCTGCTGCGCTTGGGGCTGAGGGAGCGCTCGATGGCTGCGTGCCCCACGGCACCCGGCCCCATGGAGGGGCTGCACGACACCATTCTCTGCGAGAATGTCTCTTTACGCTGGCTGCCAGCGGGGCCGGTGTGGCCAGGCTGCCGGGACGGGGCTCTTCTGCACTTCCAGTGACTCCGTGTCCTGGGTCCCTGGTCAGCGCCGGCTCAGCCTCCCTTGCTCCTGGCCCCAGGGTGGTGAGTCAGGCCCTATCCTGGCCAGAAGGTGCTGGGCGGGTGTTTCTGCTGAAGTGACCTAAGAGATGACAATGGGTGGAGGGAGGGAGGGAGAGCCGGGACTCACCCAGCACAGTCCCTGTGGTGCTGCAGGTGCTGCAGGCTTGGGTCCTCCTGCCTCCACAGGGCCAGGGCTCACTGTCATCTCTCGGGACAGAGCCTGATGGCAGGATCTTGTGAGATCAGCAACATCTTGTCTAACTACATCAGCGCCATGTACCAGCCGGATGAGATGCAGCCAACCTTGGACATGCTGGGTCACCTTGGGGATGACAGCACCCTGGGGCTGAGCCTCCCCACCAGCCAGCCCCTGGCACAGAGCACAGGTAGGACCTGGGGACTGGTGGTGGCTGCACGGGGGAGCCAGCACACAAGGCAGCAGTGAGGCAGTGCAGCTGCCTTGGAAGAACACTGGAAGGTCCTTGTCCCACTGAGGCAGGTCAAGAGTTTCCACCATCCCTCAGCTTCCCCAGGGCTGTGCTGGCTAACGGGTTGCTGTAGGACACCTTAGGTGGCATAAGGTGCAGGTGCTTGGAGCACATCAGATGCATATGGGAGGTGAATGAATCATTGCCCACATCCCAGGGAACAGGGGTGCCAGGACTCACCAGGAGAGCAGTTTGGAAGCCCAGTCCTGGTATCAGGGGTCCTACTCTTCCAGTGGGACTGTCATGGGATGGCCCTGGGGAACACACCAGCTGAGCAGGGCGGTTCCCAGCAAGGACCTGATGGGATAAATGGCATCAAAACCAGCAATGGGGGGAGCTGGCTGTTGGCCTCCAACACAAGGACAGGAGCAGGGCACAGCACGATGACCCAGGAGCAGGCACTAAGTGCCTGTTAGTCCCATAACCCACCAAGCTCAGAGCCTGCTGCCCCCCGTGATCACCACAGGATTGGACCCGGTGCCCGATGGCAGCCCGTGCTGGGCACACGGCGCTGGCACCTCAGCCCTGCCCTGAGCCCCGCTCTCCACCCTTTGCAGACAAGCCGGAGTGGTTCAGTGAGCTCCCGTACTTCTGGACCAAGGTGCAGGTGCTGGAATGGATCAGCTACCACGTGGAGAAGAACAAGTACGACGCCAGCTCCATCGACTTCTCCTGCTGCAACATGGACGGGCACGCACTGTGCCGCTGCACTAGGGACCAGATGCGCCTCATCTTTGGGCCCCTGGGGGACGAGCTCTACGACCGTCTGCATGAGATCAGTGAGTGTCCCAATGTCCCCTTCGTCCCCAGGCCTGGCAGCAGGAAGCATGAGGCTGAGACACCCCCCACCACCAGCCCAGGACCTTCTGCCTCCTGCGCGCTGCAGGAGGCTGCCTGGCGGACACTGCACTGGGGAGGCTGCGCAGGGGGACGTGGGTGCACGGATGAGAGCCCAGGCAGGGCTGGGCTTAGCTCCCAGTAAGCACCACTCACCCCGTACCCTGTAGGCATCACTAATCCCAGTCCCCCACCTGTGCAGCCTCCGATGAGCTGAACTGGATCATTGACTTGCTGGAAAAAGAGAATGTGACTTCCCAAGAAGCCTTCCTGGACTGCAGCCACCTTGGTAAGAGGGGGGCCCCGACCAAGCCTCTTCCCCAGGGACCACATGCTGATGCACACAGGGCTTCTAACCCTTTCTTCCCTTCTGTGCCCCTTCCAGAGCTGGGAAATCCCTGTGCCAATGACTCCCTGGAGGACATGAAGCCCACAAACCCTTTCCTATCCACAGACTTCACCTGCTTGCCTGACGCCATGTCCCCAGGCAGCTCTGATGTCTCAGGTCAGTTTTGCCCGGTGAAAAGTTCCCTTTGCTTGTGCTGGTCTGGAAGATCAGTGGAGAACTGCTCTACCACCAAGGGCAGGCTTGGCTCTTGGACCAGGCTGTCTGCAGGGGCCTGGGGCAGGGTGAGGGGAGCCAGGGGAGAAGCATCTCCAGATGCAAGCAGCTGGTGGACATGAAGTGCTGTTCCTTTGCCTGTCAGGGCCTGTGATGTCCCACAGCCCCAACTCCCAGGACTCCGGTGGAAGTGACCTTGATCTCGACCCCACAGAAGCAAAGCTCTTCCCTGATGGTGAGTTGTTTGCTTCCAGCCGGGAGCTGTGAGCAGGGCTTCCTCCTGGGCTCTTCCAGCAGGGCATATCCCACCTATCAGTGAATTTAGGGACAACACCTGAATATCCATCCTCACACTGGGAAGGAGTGAAGGGATGAGTTTTCTGTGCACCCTGGGTCTATGCATCAAACACGGTGATGGTGCAGGCTCCAGGGCAGAGCTGGGGTAGCCAGGGCAGCAGTGAGCTTGGTGGTGGGAGATGGGTGAAGGCTGCACCCCGAGATCCTGGGCACTGGAAGCTGTGCTCATGACTGATCCCAGCTGGCAATGATACTGGAGGGGCAAGGAAGCAGCAAGGTTTAGTGAACGGTCAGCATGCTGCTCTGAGCATGGTGGCACAGACGATGGTGGGATGAGGCTGGAGGGAATGGGGGTACCTTCTTCTCAGGGGGATGCTTTCTGGGCACCGGGGCCTGAAAAGAGTGTGCAGCCCCTCATCTCTCCCCAACCAGCTCTCTCCTGTGCTGCTGCTCCTGAGGAGGGTGTCTCCGTGCCCAGGGAGGGGGGGACAGGCTCTGCATGGTGTGACGTGTCCCTTTCTCTGTATGCACAGATGGCTTTGCAGGGAGCACGAAAGGGGACAGCAAACATGGGAAGAGGAAACGGGGACGGCCCCGAAAACTCAGCAAGGAGAGCAGAGAGTGCCTGGAGAGCCGAAAGAGCAAGCACTGTAGGTGAACCCCAAAGTCCAGGAGCTCGGATTGCCTCCCCTAGTTCAGCTCAATGCTGGGGGGGAGGTGGGAGGAAGGGCCATGTCCACTGGCTATGCCTCTTTGCAGAGAGGGGTTTGGGGAGATCCAGAGTACAGGGACCCGCAGGAGCTTCCCTCCTCTACAGCCTGCTCTCCTCTTCCAGCCCCAAGAGGTACCCACCTGTGGGAATTCATCCGGGACATCCTGATCCACCCTGAGCTGAACGAGGGGCTGATGAAGTGGGAGGACCGGCAGGAGGGCATCTTCAAGTTCCTGCGCTCGGAAGCGGTGGCTCAGCTCTGGGGTCAGAAGAAGAAAAACAGCAGCATGACCTACGAGAAGCTGAGCAGAGCCATGCGGTGAGTGCCTTCCCCTGTCCCTGGGGGAAACCTGCCCCGCAGGGTTGGGTCAGCCCCAGCAGGGCTCAGCCTGGATTGCCCACAGTAGCTCCCCAGCGTGCGAGGCTGCATCCAAAGCCCTGATCCCACCTCCATCTCCTCCAGATACTACTACAAACGAGAGATCCTGGAGAGAGTCGATGGGCGACGGCTGGTGTACAAGTTTGGGAAGAACTCCAGTGGCTGGAAGGAGGAGGAGGTGCTCAACAGGAACAAGGAGCTGTAGGAGTCCTGGATGAGCTGGGGACTGACAAGCCCCAAGGGCCAGCCCCAAGCTGGGCTCCTTGGCAGGAACCTTTGCCTGCAGCTGTATCTGGAAGCTGCTGCCCCATGCAGGGGTGTGAAACTCTGAGCCTTGCGTGTGCAGGCTTGTGCCTGCTGGTGACTGTCGGCACTGAGGTGTTTAAAGCTGATATCTTGGCTCCAGTAGGTTATAGTAAACAGTTACGTCCCTCGCTGGATTCATACCTCCAAAACTGGAGTCACAGTGACTTTGGCTGCTTCCAAGCCTGGACGAATGCAAACAGCAAGAGAAGCTCAAGAAGCAGCTGGCACCAGTGAGACTCCAGCAGGTCTCCTGCTGTCACCCACCTCCCACCCGGGCAGAGCAGCAGCACAGACCTCACCCCGTCTGTAGGGTCCTCCCTCATCTCTGCTCGCTCCATGTTGAAGGTGCCCACCATCATGTTTGCTCCCTGTGGGATGGGTGAGGCCCCCCTGTGCCGCAGCTTCTCAGTGTGGTACCTGCTGAGAGAAGATGGGAACACTGTGGAGCTTCACCTGGCCCTGGAGTGCCCTCAGGGGAGAGAGGACTTGGGACAGCAGCACCGTTCTGCATTTCCATCCCAGCTGCCTGTATCTAGAAACAGACCTTTTCCCCAAAAAGTAGCTTCTAATTTATGTAAGACAAAAAAAAAAAACCCCAAAAAAAGCACAGAATGAATGTACAGATGTATTTTTTCACGAGTAAGAGGTTCCCATGTGAGAGTGCATTGCAGGGCACGCACGTGTCTTGTGGAAGGGGGTGATGCTCAGCTGGACTGAAGTGATGTCGCGGAGGCACAGACTGGCTCTGTGTCAGCCACAGCAGGGGGATGCCAGGCACTCAGCACCTGCGTGTGGCTTCCTCCTGTTCAAATGAGAAGGTAAAATGAATAAATCTCTGTTTGGTTGGGTTTTTTGTACCTCCCTGTTGTTTTTCTTGGCTCTTTTTGTTGGTTTTTTTGTCTTCTGAAAGACAGGGTGGGGACAAGACTCGTGTTACCCGGAATGCCCCATTGCATGAACCCTGTGTCCCACCATCCCTCCTGCCTGCTGGGGCCTGGGCTAACCTGGTCACCCACCAGCTTGAGGGAGGTGATTCTTACCTTCCGCTCTGCTCTCATGAGCACATCCCCCCCCAGGTCCTGCATCGAGCTTGCGGGC